TATTTTATATATATATATATATATTGTTACGAAGTTTTCGGTGTTTCTCTGTTCTTTTCTCTCTCTCTCTCCCATCCCATCAAGATACTGCTACTTACACGATCACCGATTCTATGTTTATATACGATGGTTGTAAAGGGGTTGCGGGGTAACCGACTGCGTTTTCAATAAGAGCAATATTTAAGAGCATATTGAAAGCATAATTTTTTACGACGACATTAAATAAGCTGGTCAGTAAACTTTAACGTGTTATCGATATCTTGTATGATAAAAACGGTAATTATCGAGCAAATTTCGGATGAATTATCTCTGCGCTCTGAACAATGATTGCAACTGCAAATCGAGCGACCAAGTTCTCGCGTGTACGCGACTCGATTTTTCCTGGATTCCGCGGTATTTTTTTGTTTTCGTAAACGTACACAAATTTATCGCCAACTGATAAATCATTCGCGGTACGTTTAATCTTGTCGCGTGTACGCCGAGGTTTATCGCTCCCTCTGAACGTCTTGTTCTTTCGAGGATAACTCTGGAAAATAGCCGTTGCTTTACCAAAGAATGAAAAGGATGGAAAATTAGCTGGTTCTCTCGAATCGCAAGGCAAAACAATTTCAGATCTTTCTGCTGATATTATCACGATCGTCGATGAATTTCAATTCCGAACGGAGTTCACTTTCAAACTGCAAGACTTTCAGAAGCTCTAACGCACTCGTACCAAAAGAAACGTTGCATTTCTTATCGTATCCTCGGTATCGTTCTTTCTTTCTTCTTCTGTTTTTTTTTGTAATATAACAAAATTTGTAAATAACTTACCGCCATTCCGCGGTTGCGTATTCTTGCCAGCCAATCGTTCTCTTTTTCTTTTCCTGTAGCGTATAATCTAATCGTGATTCCGAATGAAGAAGAAGAAAAAAACAGATTCGCATTGTCTATATTATATATATATATACATATATATTTAACCTATTCTTGTACTCTATCATTTTTTGTACAGAACTATGCACTAGAAGCTAACCATAGTGATTAGTCGGTGCTCGAGATAAATATCGATTGTCGGATTCGTTAGACCGCTCGGCATCGCGAAGACGAGATTTCGTATTTTTATAGTTCGCGAGTACAAATTGAAACGGGGTGCGACTGGTACTAGCGAATTATTCGTTTGTTTCGTTGTTGAGAAAAGCAAGAAATTTCGCTCGTATCGTTTTCGCGTTACGATACCGCACTACGACGTAAGCACTCTCCCTTTATTCTCGCATAGTTAACGAAACAACGCTCTGCAATGCAGTTATTGTCAATTCGACAGAGTGTGAATTGTTGTTACCGTTTTTCGTTTTTAATCAAAGCCACGTTCGCGTGCACGCGGCTTCTGTTGAGCTGTAAATTTTGACTCTGTGATGTGTAATTTTACGTTATCCTTGACGGAACACTCTGTTCGATCGATTACCAATACTTTGGGCACAATCTGTGGTAGGAGTAACTCGTTCGCTGTAAACGTTCTTCGATGTCGTACGTATATATTTTACACCTTATAATATATATATACACACACACGTGTATACGTTGGTTGAAAGTGCGAAGGAACGATCGTGAAATTTTTTCACCGTTCTTCCGACAACGAAACGTTGCTTTCGCGTTGTAATTTCGGTAGCCGTTCTGAAACACACCACGAAATTCGTCTACTTGTGAAAAAAATGAATGGGGAAAATTTGGGTCGCCAGCGACCGCAAGAATTTGTAAATATTCAACATCGATAAATATGCAATAGAAAATAAAGAAGAAAATAACAGTGAAAACGGTGTACAATTCATTAACCCTTCTTTTCATCTTTTTCGCGCGTCTCGTATTCTCGCATAATTTACGCGGTCACGTGTAGAGTGAGCTTATTTTTCGTGGGTCTCTATTCGTAGTAACCTCCTCGTGGTGAGACCCGGGCAATCGATATTGTTGGCGATACGATATTCTTATCGTGTCTCGAATAATGTCGAGCTGATGACTACGAAATTAATCCTCTTTCTTTCAGCTCAGCTTAGTTATTCCGTGCTTTCGTACTTGGAAGAAAGAAGAAGGAGGGAAGAAGAAAATGATGCTGTTAAAGAAAGAAATTATTCACAGGGTAAAAGATTAAATTCGTATATTTCTTCACTGTTTAATATCGTACGTCAAGGGTGGTATAATTTACAATACGTTAAAAATAGAATGCATACTCGAGAAAAACTTATTCGCTACTAATATCGAAAGAGAAGAAAATCGAGACGACGAGTGTGCCTTGGTAGAAAACTGTGTACTGCGGTTGGGATAATAATTTAATTCGAAGGAATGGTACAATTAGGCGTAATCGTGCGCATATTTACAAGTTTAACCGAAAGTAGAAATAGCTGTAACAATGAATTGATCGAGATCCTTCTTCACGTGTTTAGATGAAAAATTAACCCTTTGCTACGCTCGGCGTTATTTCAAGGCCTCTGATACACGAAAACTATTCCTATGAAAGACGTCGAAAAGTTTGACCATACGACGAAGGTGAGAAAGTCGGTATCCGGCGGAAGAAACTACTCTCTCAAATAACGAATGTTAATGCACAAGTGAATTTCACCTGTTGACGATGTTGTTCAAGTTTTACGAAACTCGAGCTATATCGTAGAAATTTGCCAATGAAAATTTAGTCCCGTTGTTGATCGAGAATCGGTTTCAGTAGCCGGTGTAATCGTGCCACTGTCCTCTCTGAGGCCTGTACTGCGCTCCGCTAATTTGAATCGCCTCAGGTGTCCTGTAGTAAACCGTTCTTAATCTGTCGTTGTTGTTGACCGCCGGCAGAAATTGAGGACTCGGCACGAATGCTTTCTGCTGTTGCTGATTCACGGTTCTCGAGACTTTGTAATTATTCTCCGTCGATTGGAGGACCGGGTCTCTTCCGAGTTGCCTGTGCAGAGGTAGAACGAATCCGCTGGGCAAGTTGGCCTCTTGGTTCAACGTAGGCGTCAACGCGTCGTTCAGAGTGACGTCGTACTCGCTTTCCGGGATATCCTGCAGTCGATGCGTCACTTCGTTGATTCTCTGCTTCACTCTGTAGCTCTGTGGCCCCGTTGGATGTTCCTGGGTCTCGTCGTTCTTCAACGTGGATCCGTAAACGTTCGGAGTTTCGCTCGTTGTTAGTCTTCCCTTGTTACGAACCTGAGAGGTTTGTATGCTTCCTTCGCTGCTCTGCGTAGGATTCGAGTAGTCTTCCGTGGTCCATTTGGTCAAACTTTCCTCGAAATTCTGTCGATTCGCCTCGTCTGTGGATTTCTGCATCTCCTCTTCGCGCTGCCTCTCCGTCGGCCTTCGAATCACTGGTCTGACCAAGGAAGTGTCGTATTCCTCGGGTCTCTGCTCGATCTGACTCTCTGTGTGAGTATTTTTATACACCTCGTAATTTTCTTTCTCTTCCTGTTCCAACTTGGACTCTCGATTCGACTCCCTGAGATTCTCCTGTGCCGGTTCGTGTACGTAGTAATTTTTAGGCCTTTCCTGAATCGTCGTTCTCTCCGTCGGCCTGTCCTCCTCCCTTTTAGGGGTGGTAGCCTTCACGCCCACTGGCGATAAACCTCGGGGATTAGGGTTGCCTCCCCTGGAAGGCAGGAAGGGTCGTTTGACAATGCGGACCGCGGTTCTTGGAGGAGGGGAGGGCGGATCTTCTGGCTCGTCGTAATATTCCTGCGAGTATTCCTCCATGGAAGAGGTCTGATAATGGCCCTGTTCGCGCCTCTCGTCTTCATCTCTTTCCGGATAATCCTGCTGTTGATACGTCCGACGAGGTTCCTCGTCCTCGATCGAAGCTCGAGTTGTCTGCGCAGATTTGCCTGGTCTCTCCGTCACGGTTGCCCTCTCGTTTATCGGTTCTCTCGAAGTCGATTCTATCTTGTGAACAAGTTGCTCCGGTAGGCAAGTGGTCGTAGTTGAAGTGGTTGTTGTTGTTGTTCTTTCGTAGCTACCGCCTCTTCTAGGTGGTGAATCCGTACCGTCTTGTAGATCCTTGGATCTCGAACCTGCCCTAGGACGATCGACGTCCCTTTCCCTTTCGAGAGGTCTGTACGGTCTTTCTTGCTGCTTATCGGTGTCCTGCGTTCTTCCTCGATCACGATCCAACGATCTGTCCTTGCTACGGTCGAGGGATCGATCTCGTCCACGGTCCGCACCTCGATCTCTGTATCGATCGTAGTAGCGATCTCTCGAGCGATCCGGTTGTTTTCTAGGTCGATCATCCTCGTCGTCCCGATATCGAGGTCTGAAACGAGACTCTGTCAAACTCGAATGATCTCTCCAACGATTCCCTCTCCTTTACTCTTTACTGTTACATGAACGTACGTTTAAATATGTTAGAGGTATATGAGTATGTTACTTTGTGTTAGACAATGTGTTCTGATTAATTTGTTACGACAGACGAATATAATTGTATCGGTGTTGTGTGCGTACGTTACCTTACCTGAAGGGTCGGCCCCTTTGCCTGTCTATCGTGTCTACGGGGTCTCTGTCCCAGTCTCTGTCCCTGTAAGTCGGTCTTCTTCTCAGCGGTCTTCGAATCGGTCTCAGATCTTCCAGCTCGTCCTCGTAGTAATCGTCCTCTGCCAAGTCCGCCGGTCTCCTTCGAGGTTCCTCTGCAACAAGATCTATTTAAACCTATTCAACTATTCTTACCTTGTGCGATATAAAATTACCAGTCGGTTGAACTGATGTAGCTTTGTAAGCGTATTTATCCTGCTCGGAAAGTGGCACAGGTCTTCTGATCTTAGGAGGAGCTCTAGGTCTCGAGTAAACGGAAGCTGAAGGTGCTGCAGGCTTCACCAATCCATCCGAACCTGAAGCTACTCCCGCGGACGTAGAAACAGGGTCTTTATCGTCGTATTCGTCTCTGTACCTGCGAAACGATTAATCACATTCACCGTCCAGTTAAGAATTCTACAAAGAATTGTCCATGTATTTATCTACAGTAAGCTACCTTTTATCAGAGTACCGACGATCGTCGGTATCCCTGACCCTAGAATCCATTCGTCGATCCTCCAGCTCAGCCTCCTCGATTTCCCTAGACGCAGACCTTGATCCCTGATCGGGATCTCTAGATCTAACCCTCGTGTCCTCTTCTAGAGGATCTCTCGCTCTGGTAGGATCTCTCCTGTTGTTTCTGCTAGGATATCTGTCTCTAGCGTTGCCCTCGCGATCTCTGTCGTCTCTCGGCACTCCGTCTCTGCTTCGTGGAACGTCTCTCTCCCGGAAGTCACGCTCTCGATCCCTCAAGTCACGATCTCTGTCCCTTCTGTACTTTCTGTCGTCGTAGTCGTAATCGTCTCTGCTGTAACCCCGCGGACGGCTGTAGTCGTCGTCGTAGTACTCCTCGTCGTAATAATCGTACGCCGGTCGTCTCCTGAAGGGTCTTCTCCTTCGCGGAAGGTCTCTGTCCCTCGGTAGAGAACGTCCGGTGGCCGGTGTGACTGGTGCGGACGTGGTCGTGGTGGTGGTGGTGGTGGAGGTCGTGGACGTGGTCGCAGCCTTGTACAACGCGTCGTTTCTGTGCCAGTACTTCTTGGAATTGGCGCAGTCCACCTCCGAGACGAAATGGCAGATGAAGGTTTTCTGATCGAACGCCGTGAAGTTGGCGCAGAGGAAATCGTATCTCGTGCCAAACAGACAATGGTGGTACACCTTGGAAAACAGAGGAGGAGGAGGAAACTTTTGTTTATTCGTAGGCTTTACACATTTTTCGTTACTTTCTTTTTTCGGTGTCGGTGTAGAATCGATAGGCCACAGTGAAAGCAAACGAATATCACCCGATGGTGAAACTTTTCACCATATTTCACAGACTTCTTTTTGTTTTACGTAACGTCGAATAATTGCGTTTCTTCTATCTACGGATAGAAGCGCGCGCGTTCGTTTGACGAAAATTTAGGACGAGCACGATTCCAATCGAGGATCTTAACACACTTTTCGCAGATGTTGCTAGACACTAGCACACCGTAGCTTTCACACCGTGACTACGTGCGCGCGAGTAATTGCTCGGTGAGCGCACAGGTGTACCATACGCCGAGGCTGTTGCATGTACACGAAACTCGTGTGATTGTCTGGCACGTATCGCCTTGTCGGATTATCTAAAGGAATCATCTAGAGTCATTCAGAGCACGTCCTCGCTCCGAGTTCTTTCAACGTTCGGTTTCGTTTCTCCGAAAGCTGCATTTTCCACCGTCTCTCTCCAACGAACGAGGACAATTCGAATTGGATAATCGTTCACTAATCTATCGCGATTTACCATCTTCCAGCCTGCGTTTTACCTCACTCGAGGACAACAGCCCGGAGTTTCTCTATGCTTTGGTAATTTTATTGGAAAGTTAGAGTCCACTGTTCTAGATTGCAGGAAGTACCTCGTTGCGTATTTGCATGACAAGAACGCGCCACTCCGGCTGAAAATCGCCGAGAGAGTCATGATTGTCTAAGGATCTTGAGTCAACTCGGTTCGCCGTTTTCGCGATGATGGATCGCTAGTGTTACTCAACTTCTGTTTAAATGTCAAACGTACGGTCTGGCCAAGTTGAACCAAGAACATTCGTTAAACTTTACCCGAAACGGTTCCAGGCGATTGTAAACGCGATGGAGCGGAACTCGAGTGAAATTGCGCAAACGTTCCCCTAAATCTTCGCCGTTTCACCACCAATTTTTCTCCTCTTTTTTTTTTTTTCTAGCACGATATCCGGTTCTGTCGGCGTTTGAACCGAGGGAAGAGTATCTGCGAAACATTTGCATGACAATGGGCCGTTCGCTGGCTCGGCAGCCTGGACTAAACACAATCGATAAGGAACGACGGAAAAAGAGGTACTTTGCAATCGCTTTCACAATAGCAAGATCGCGTCTCGTGTGAATCTCGAAACGGCCAGGGACGGGAAGTGTATCGAACCGCGAAAGTCTCCTCTTCTACTTCAACTTTTCTTCCACGTCTTCGCTTTTTCCGACAGAAACGGGAAATTTGTGTTTCCTCTGTCGAGGTGGAGGTAAGGTTGATCGTTCTTTCACCGATAGAAGCCAGGAGAATCATGGTCACGCCAGCGAGCGATACACTTTGTCAGAAAATCTTTCTTCGCCGTTCGTCCAGATGACACTGACTTTCCTTTTCACTAGACCGATCGCGATACCCACTTTTACTCTTGCAACGCTCGAGTTTCTTCGTTCACTCGAACGAGTTCTTCAGGAGCACGGCGAACAGGATGCGTGCTGTATTTTAAACGTTATCCCACGACGATCGAGTAATTTGCATTCGATAAAATCCCACACCCGATTCATCTGTCCTTGATCCCGCGACTTTTCACACAGCTCACGAATCTCCGATCCGACACGAGGTTTCTCTCAGCACGAGAATATAAAACGCGTTCTTTTCCCCAACTTTTAGCCTTCGAAATTGTTTACTCTATCCCGTGGCTCCATCGAAAACACCGGCGAAATAAATCCGTTCATTTTTTCGCAGATCTAACGCGCCGCCGTGTAGACACGGCTAAACGTAGCGTATCCTTGAAGACGTTGACATTATTAAAAGAAAGAGAAAGTCTGGGAATTTTTCATTCGGGAATGCTTGAGCCGTCGATATCTCGCGGCACAAGCATAGGAGAATTACGTTCTTCTCACCTGACATTTGTGTGGCACGCTCGCGTAAAAGCCATCGTGAAGTCCGTCACACTTGAAATCGATGTCCTCGGGGATGCTGTTGTAGAACGGATACTCGCTCAGATTGTATCCGTTCAGTTCACGCGGCAGATTCGGGTCCCAGATGTAATCGATCTGCGGAATTCCCGTGAGGACGTGTCCAGATGTACCGTTGGTCTCGCTGCTCGCAGTCGTGGTACCCTGGAGGGAAATGAGAAGAAATTATCGATTTCACGATCGATCGAATCCCGCGAAGATAGCCTGAAAGGTAAGGAGTAACACGTTGCTTAGGGACAATGCGTTATTTAACGCGTGGTGGATGTACCGTGTTATAACGGTTTCGCGATGAGCTCGTGGCGCTCGTCGGATGATGTCACTGTGTCGTTTATGCGTGAAGGTAAACCTGTCGTACGAGGATGCTTCACCTGGACGTTAATTGATTTGACACGGGGTAGGGTAGTCGTAAATTACGATCGCGGTGGAAAAAAAGCTCGTAGGAATGAAAGTATCGTTCCCGAGGATCGCTACTGGCGACGTAATCGTCCTCGTTTAACTACACGAGGATGGAACATGGAAAATAGGAACAGATGCGTGGGTCCGTCGTGACTGTGGTAGCATCGTCGTTTGCATCATCGTGGATAAACGGTTCTGCCTGTTGCTATTCCTGTACCGGCAAATAATCGAATCACGAAACCTGTCCGCGGAGAGCACATCGCGAGTGATCGTGCTTCGGACTATAAATTCAACGACGTGTGTCGTCTATGTAGATTCGATCAGGCAGGCTCGGGCGGAGGAGGGAAAAAATAGAAAAGGTTCGGGATGCAATTACCCTGGGTGGTTAGAAAGTAACATGGCCATAAGGATCGTACCTCTGCATCCTCGTTCTCGTTTTCGCGGACGTGGCTCTGATCTGTGGTGCTGGTGGTCGAAGGCGTCGTAGTTGAGGTTGTCGCGATCTTGAATTTCGGCCTCGTTGCCTTTTGCGCAGCCGAAACTGCCGTGGCCAATAGGATTCCTGGAATGTAGAAGGAAGTACGTCAGAAACCGGTTGTGCTCTACCGAGACCTTTCCCCCCTCGCTCTTCTCGCCAGGGTTTTCCCCGATCGAAACGGGAAGCACCGTCGAAAAAGTGATTAAAACGTTGTTTAAACGACACGACAAGTATCGGACGAAATACGCGCGATCGTTCGTCGCCGAGCGACCGAGAAATTAATTAACCTGACGGAAAGGTTGGAAAGAAAGTGTGTCGGACAGGTTTGCAATGGTTAGAATCGGTGGCACGTCAGCCAGGTGGTAGGTAAATAATCAAAGTCAGGTACGCATCGTGGGATTGCGCAAGTGACGAAGAAGCGTCGGCGTTGCAAAACTCGTACACGAGAAGATCACTCGGAGAGAACTTGTAGCGTGTAAGTGTTGCAATTTTCGCTAGTGCAGGTGAACGCGTTCGGTTGGGTAATTGTTTTCAAGCAGATCAAGGCTGTCTATTGATCGTTTTCTTTCACCGGCTTTCGTTGATTTACGAGGAGATTGTCGGGCATATTCCATACGGACAATTCCGTTTTCTTTCTTTGCCGTAGCGAAACCTCCTCGTTAATCAGCAGTTAATTAATCGCAGAATCTTTGCCCGCGAGCTGCTCCTAATTAGATCGAACCGGTTCAAGGTCGATGGATCCACGAGTGAACCTCTCGGACCACATCGGATAGAGCCTGTCCACGTCCGATGAAAAAACCAAGTACTTTTGCCGGTAGAGGTATACAGTATATTCTCCACAAGTGTCAGACCGCAAGGAAGCTAACCCTGACACTCGTAGAGTCAGGGACCGCCTTTGTAGTTTGCCGAACGTAGACAAGGACAGCGAATAAAAGATAAGCATGAAAGGTCAGTCGAGGCAACCAAGCGATTTAAATATCAACTTTTTTAATTTTACGTTTTCTTATCCCGAAATTTTTCTTAACATATTGATGAGATTTTTCTGATGAAAATGACATAAAACACGACATAATTTGAACAACATTTACTTATTAACACGTTCACTGTCACGCCAGATTTACAGATTGCTGTCAGGCGGCCACAAGAAAATAAATTTTAAGCATATACATTAAGCAGCTCATATTTGAGCTGGCAATACACAACACAACTAACTAGTAAACCAAATCACCAGAAAAATTTTCAATATTATTATTGAAGTAAACTTTCGTAGAACGAGAGTGAAAAATTGAAAGAATCAAAAGAAAAAACGCGAATTCGTATCTTTTTCGATTCTAGAATATAAGAAAATTTGAATAAAATACGCGACGAGAATTGGGGAGAAGCATAAGTTAAACGCGTAAAAATATTCAATAAAAAACGAACTAGGGATGAAGCTATTATTTCAATACGCGATGCACTGACTCTAGTATTTACTAAAATTCAAAAATTCTCGTATAAATTCCGAAAATAGATTATTAATTACGGTAAACTACTGAGACGGTTTAATTAAGGGTGGGCATGGTGCTGCTTTAGTTTGAAATGATTTATAAACACATAATTAACAGAGGAAAAACCGTGAAACGGCAAAACGTCAACATTCTAATTGTTATAACATGTAAACAAAACTTTAAATTTAGTGTAAACAGAAAAAATATATAATACAATTTATTTCACGGTATTGCAACAAATAAACGTTGAATCAATATTTAATTCGTATAAAAACAATTATTTAACGTAATAATTTTACCTTCACTATGGCTATTTTTAATCTACGACCACAGGTCAACCTGATATCTAATCCTTACGAACTTTAAATTCAGTCTAAACTGAGAAAATATATAATACAATTTATTTCACGGTATTGCAACAAACAAACGTTGAATAGATTCTTAATTCGTATAGAAACATTTATTTAAAATAATAATTTCACCTTCACTATGGCTATTTTAAATTTACGACCAAGGGTCAACCTGATTTTTAATCCTCCGAACTTGATTTCACAACGAGAAAGTAATAAGATCGTTGAAACGTACTTATTTGTCAAAGAAACTTGCAAAAATGTATAAATAATAATATGTAATGTTTTAACAAATTTTTGGAAGTATAAATTAATAATAAAATTGTGAAAATTAATAAATTATACGTTATTATAACATTAATAGAATTATGACTAAACCGAAGTTCGAAGTCGAGTATTTAAAGTCTGATATTACGTGCCTAGCGAGTGCCGGTAATTGTTAAAATTTGTTTAATAATTAGTAATAGAAATTCTAATTGATTCTAATGTATACAAGTGTTACAAGAAGGCTGAGTGTGTACAGGGTGGACATAGACTAGCTAGTAGCCCCCGACCACTCTATTCACATCTCAGAACCTTCAGGTCAAAATACGCCGCGAAGTGTCTAGGGCCCAGTATAAAGGGTAAATGATTTCGCGGGACATCGGCGGGTCCTTATATACCTGCGGTACCCTCTCCCCAAAGTCATTAGCAAAATCGTCGGTTAGGTCAGGCGGGAAATTTTCGCGGGAGATTTTCGCGGGAGATTTCCGATATCGTAACACGGTATAATTTATCAATTTTCACAATTTTATTAAAAATTTATACTTCCGACAATTTGTTATAACATTGCATATAACAATTTATACGTTTTTACAATATTCTTCAATGGAAACATAGGTTTTAGCGTTCTCGTTACTTACTCGTGGTTAAATTAATTTCGTAGGGATTAAAAATCAGGTTGACCTGTGGTCGTAGATTAAAAATAACCATAGTACAGCTAAATTTATCGTGTTAAATAATTCTTCTTACACGAATGAAAAATGTATTCAACGTTTGCTTGTTACAATACCATGAAATAAAT